AGGGTTAAAAAAATGTTACAGAAAACAAAATGATTTTGGACAATGACAAAAATCCTATGAGATACATTTTGAATTATTATGTGTTATATTATTATGTTGGCATCATTCTTAAGCATGATATAAATTTACATTTGCAAAGAGTTGTCTGATTTCAGTAAATGGATCCAATATCTTATATTTATTTTTCTACAAATAATCATAGGAGATTTCAAAAATGCAAACTGGAATAGAAAGCAGAAATGCATTGCAGAATATGTGTATCTAAATCTTTACATAACTATTTTCAATTTTTGATAAGTATGCGTTTTCTACTTATGAAAAAAGTAAACTGTTTCATTCGTTAGTTGCTACTGTACTAAATTACTGTTCAGCAGTCTGGGGAAGGTATACAGGGACAGATATAGAACTTATTCATGCAAAATTCTGTCGAAAACTTTTATATGTTAATAAATCAACGAATACTACTTGGTCTCTATTGAGAATTAAGGAGAGTTTGGTAAGTTAGGTGTAGTTAAATGTTTTTAACGTCATATTTGTTTATAACTAGGTTATATCTGTCGGAAAGAGTCTATTAGTATGCTAAATTTAAAAAGGTAAGTTTAATTTCAATATATCATCAAGTTTAGAGAATATCTTGTTCTTTGGGAAGGATATTATTTATAATAAGGGGAAGTTATCCAGTAGATGGCGCTTCTCTTATCCATATATAAGCAGGAGAAGACGCATTTGAAATCCCTTTTCGGCTAACACTTCAAGCTATCCAGGAAGATAAACCGTGGGCTTAAACGTCCTATAAGTAAATCCCTTAAAAGCTCGGCTTCTTTGGGAACACAAAGATAGGATATAATTGCATTTCTTCTGAACGTTGACTATAGAGATCGTCCTATTTAACATAGAAGCTCAGCTTCTTTGATATTGGATGAACATCAGTTGAATATATTATTTTGGTGAGGTGAACGATCACCAATAAATATAGAAGCCCAGCTTCTATATGATGTTGGATGACTATAAGCTGTAAATATTGTGTACTTTTCATCAAGTGTTTTTATTATATAGTTATTATATAGTTTGTTTCTTTTCCTTATTATATAGTTTGTTCATCAAATAATAAGTAATCATTTATTTGTCTAATCAGTCAATGGCAAGGTAACCATAAGAAAAATTATTGTACATGATAAACTGTAAATAAGTAGTTGAAGGCAAATCTCAGTTAAATAGTCTTATAATCAAAAGCCCGCTCGGAGACACGTTACATAGTAAACATTCTTTTTTATTATTTATTTTTATATTATGTCCAAATATAATGATATACTTTAAATTGAATATTGGATATAATTCATTTATCGCATGCACATGGTATGTCACTGCATTGATCGTCAATGAGGTATTAGCTTTTATGCCTGCATGTAATAATTAAAAGATGTGCATATTTTACGAACAGTATGGACACAAAAGACTTAAAATGTCCTCATATAGTACTAACATGTGTTCATAAGAGACTGGTACGATATTTATTCTGAGTACTTCTTGGCCGAGTGATTAAGGTCGCTGACTTTAAGGCATTTGCTCCTCACCGCTCTGGATACAGGTGCCATCAGAGACTTTAGAAACTTTCAGGTAAAGACGGTAAGCAGCTACCTTACGGAGGAACGGTGGTTCTACTCATATGACTGCTCGTGCCTGAAATAATATACGAAGGTGCACTTGGGGTTTTCCTCCACAAGTAAAGCTGGGAAGACGTCATATGACGTTTATGGGGAAGCTGTTACTCGACTAACAGTCTTAACATTTTCAATTTCCAATTTATACTATTGTGAGGAATAGACACATGGTCATAAATTGACGTTTACAGACTAAAGAAAAATGAATAGTGTACTGGTTGCCACAATTTTATTTACATTACACAAATATTTTTTTTTTGAAATTTAAGGTCTGTGGCGAGGGATCAGCTTCAGTGTCAACAAAACGTGTCCTGCATCTCCTTGCTTCCGATGATCAGAGATAATGATAGAAGACTTGCTGGATAATGAATTTGATGATACCTTTAATTTATTTATCAAAAACCCATTAATCAAAAAAATATCAGAAAATGAAATTGATGATGGCGTTCCATTTCTACAACGCTTTTCAAAAGCAGTTGTGTTTGACTCATTGAAATTTAAAAATGTGAAAACATAACCTCGAGGAAATGTTAATTAAATTTAGAAAACATCTCTTTTCAACCATAATTACAGAATATTTTTAAAAAGATAGAATTGGCAAAGGAGTTATAAATAGATTTATAAACCATTATGCTTTTCCTACACAAAGCGTTTACATATTTTTGTGAAGTTGTCCCAAAATAAACTGCATGTAATGAATGCAAAATGCAGTGTTTACACCTTTTTGAAAATGTCAACAACTTTTCTGATGAACATATGCATATATGCTTCAAGTCAAAACAAATTTGTTTAAAGAAAGTTTGAACTTCTTTGAGATCAGTTGGCGTTTATCATACTGCAAAGCCGCCTCCGTGGTCGAGGGGTTAGAGTCGATGACTTCTAATCCAGTTACCTCTCTGGCGTGGGTTCGATCCCCGGGAGATGCTTTGGTAGTTTAGCGCGGAGGAAGGTAGTCTAGTACTGGTGTAACTCTCCAGGAACGATGGTTAGGAAACTACCCGCCTATATGACTGAAATACTGTTGGAAAAGGGCGTAAAATGAAACAAACAAACAAACAAACAATCATACTGCAGCTTGTGCATCCCAGCGATGCCATTCTCTGATTTTATTCAATATTTCGAGTTGTGGCAATTGAAGGCTATGTTCACTTGATAAAGACAAAAATTAAAGAGAATGAAGAACATTTTTTTTCTTCTTTTTGTTCTTAGCCGGTTATTCGGCTCATTGTCTTCCACAAAGTTGTGCCTCATATAGAGGGTTTTTATTCCGAAGAACTTCCTAACAATAATGACTTACATCCACGAGAAATGTGAGAATTTGTAGTTTTTCTAGTGGAATTTTTTTTTTAATCGAGTTATGTTTTTAATGTAATGTGCAATATTATTCCTAAGCATCCAATCAAAACAACTATCAAGATGTATTATTTATATGTGCGTCATTATCTGGTTCATTGGTATTTTTCATTCTTGCACCCTTTATCATTTTTAGTCCGAAACACATCTCTACAGCGATTCAAGGATTTGTAGAAGGTTTTCACAATGATAGTCAAAAGTTATGAAATAAAATATTGTTTGTAACCCCTACCGCTACCTTCCCACAAAATTCACAGCTTCCCAAATAATTTCATTGCCTATGGAAAATAATATATTTCTTTTTCTAAGCATGGAAGCAAGGAGTGTCATGACAATCACATATTTTTTTTTCTTAATTGTAAATATACAACTGAGATATATGTAGAATGAAAATATGGTTCTAATCTTTAAACTGATGCTAAACATTTATAACTCCCTATACTTTTAATAGAAAAAAAACAACATTTTTGGATAAAAAAAATATTTTATCGACCTACATAACCTACCCAAACTGGCATGTGTCACGGGAGGAGAAATAAGGATAATTTTAAGGTTTTCCTGAGGACTTGAGAAGTGTAGGATCATAAAATGTCTAGTTTGCTTCTTTAGTAGTTTTGTTTACTTCTTCTGTCCTAAACACCTTTTTACACTTACATATTCTCCCTACTCCAATGTGCTACTTTACAACCATCGCTTCTTTCCAAAAATTGTATTTTGCTGACATTTCATTTACAAAGATTAACATTAAAATGGTTCTTTGTATCGACTCCTGGCGAACCCCTCATGTAGTACAAGCTAGAATATCATTGTTTCCGATACAGTGTGTATCGTTTCAATATGTTTTCTTTAGCGATACAAATTGTATGATTTCCAAACTATAGTTATTATCCCCGCCGATGGAACTAGGAGGGGGATATTGTTTTGGCGTTGTCCGTCCGTTCGAATTTCGTTTCCGAGCTAGTTCTTTACAACTACTGGCTCGAATTCAACGACACTTTATGGGAACCTTCAATATTAAGAGGAGATGCGCATATCGTCGGCTTGTTTCCGTTAGACCCTCAAACTCAGAGTTATGGCCCTTGATTAGTTATGCATATGCAAAAATCGTTTCAAGGAAACTTTATGGGAATCATCAATATCAAGAGGAGATGCGCATGTCGTCGCCTTTTTCCGGTCAGAAATTTTAACTCAGAGTTATGGCCTTTGACTTATTATGTAGTATGCATATAGAGCAATAATTGTTTCCGCGCTCTTTCTCTGCAACTATACTGGCTGGAATTCAATTAAACTTAATTGGAACCATTAATATCAAAAGATGTGAATAATTTGTTGCCGTGTTCAGACCAGACCCTTCATTAAAGAGTTATGTCCCTTGATTAGTTATGTAGTATGCATATAGAGCAATATTGCTATTTCTTTGCAACTGCTGTATTGACTTCTTCAAAACCTTAGGGGAACCATCAATACAAAAAGGCAATTTACACCTCATTGGCATGTCCAGATATTACTATTTAACACGGAGTTATGGCCCTGTTATTGCTCTGAATGTTTATCATGTACAAAGAATATTACTGTTTACGCCATGATAAATACATGTATATTTAAATAAAGCCTTATGTCTTTGTGTTAGTTGTTGTGTTAGTAATAACCAGTACTCGTCGTGGGATATAAATTCAACGAATTTGCTTGTTTCTATTCTAATTGACATTGATACTGTTATTGACACAGACACATAATTATTGAAAAGGTGATCCATCCTTTATTAATACATATAGGACATAAAAAGGTAAAGAACCAAATGTCTACACAAACGTTGAAGCTCTGGTATATATACAGCGGTTATGAGCATCCTCTATTAAGACTGTAAAGTTTTAGTATTTATCATGTATATTACATAATTATTAATTATTTTTATGTGTAATTAATTAAATATATTTTTGCAAATTACATCTGATTTATAACCATATCTTTCCTTTCTTCCTTCAGGTTACACGAGAAAATCGTATTTAGGTCGTTTTAAAGTCTGGAAATCCTCGATTCATTACTTGCGTAATATTACATCTCCATGCTATGGAAAGTGGGTTAGAAGTATATGTATCTTCAGTTTAAAGGATCTCCGTCGACTGTCGACACGTAAAGAACTTTTTGCAAATAAATTTCATCTGCATGAAAATCCTTTAACGTATACGTGCATGGAGGAATTAATATTTAATCGCACACGTGATGAATTTGAAGGGAAAAGGACATTGAATGCGAGTTGGTATCATCAACGCTCGATTTCATAAAAAGACATGTCAAATAGATAAGATATATTTACACAACTATTTATCTAATTAAAATAACTTATCGGAATGTATTGTTCAACAATATTGACATGGCACTCTTGCATAAATGTTACTAACTACTTGTAAATCGATATCAATGTAGATCAGCAGTTGTTAAATAGCTTAAATTAACAAATCCCTCTTAGCGCAGTGGGTAAAGTCTTTCACTTCGAGAAAAAATAGATGTTCTCTTGTAGGTTCGAATCCTGGTTCAATTTTCTTTCTTTTTCTTTAATTTAAAAATTGCCATTTTTCTCTTAACTCGTGCAAAACGTTTTGATTTTTTGTTGTATTTTATTTGTGTAGTATTTTTAAGGTGTATTATAAACGCGCTGTCCTTTTTATTAATAAAAGATAATGTAATGAAATAAATAAAAAATAACTGTACCAAAAACACTACTTGAAAGGTATCTAACACAAGATGTAGTAAAACGATTTCAAATTAATTTTTGCTAGTAAATTCCAAAATACAATAAAACAAGTGCGTATCTTCATAACGTGGGGTGTTGGTTAGGTATCGAACCAAAGACCTTCAGATCATTAACAGTAGTTCGGCATGTACAGCAATACACCACAACTCTTTGATCTGTGAAGTTAACAAAGATATCGATATATTCGTTAGATACAAGTGTTTATACATGGACCTTTACAAAAATTAATGAAGTGCCAGGTCAATATTGTTGGACAATAGCAATGTTAAATAACTATACTTTTAATAATAATAATAATTTTATATACTTCTCAATCATTCATAACAAAAAAGCTGATAAACAAATACAGAACAGATTGATTGCAGTCATAAGATTTCTTTGTAAACTTAATGTCTCATTTGGTAAGTTTTAGCTATATATTGGAACATACTGATACAGTAGTTTAAACTTTACAAACTTTATCAGGTATTTATTTGTGGTATAAGTAAAATGTGCCTTGTTTTAAGAAAGCAAAGATTTAAGAAAGTAGAGTTTGTTTTGTTTTGTTTTTTCATTCATTAAGTTTTACGTCACACGGACACAGTATAGGTCATATGGTGACGTTCCAGCTGTACTAGTGGAGGAAGACGTCAGGTGCCCTTCCGTGCAAAATTTGAGTAGTATAATGAGTAGAACCACTGACTTTCCGTTAGCTATCTGGATAACTTCCTCACATGAAAGAAATCAAAGTCCCTGTCGGGATTCCAACCCACAGCGGTGAGGGGCAAGTGGTTTGAAGTCGACGGCCTTAACCACTAGGCCACGGACGCCCCTTAAGATAGTATAGTTACATTACTAGTTAATGTTACCATTGTCCCATTGAAGTTAAAGTATATTTTTAGACTTGTTTTATTACACAACCTTAGTGTGATGAAATTCTGTAAACAATGTACCTACCATGCTTGTTAAAATTATTGATACTAAAACAGAAGTATATTGGTCAAATGAAAATAAAATTTTCATATTCATGCTTTGATTTGTTTTCCTTATAAATTGCAATGGCTTTTTACCCAAATAAATGTTTTATATGAGAAAAAAAAAGATAAGTTTACGGATATCGTCATAACATCGGCTCCAGTTCAATCTAATGATATACAACCGATATCGGTCTTACTTGTAGCCGCACATACGATATCTTGCCGATATTATAAAATAGAGAAAAACAGAATCCATTGTGAAAGCCCAACACGAAACAATTGAAAATGTTGCAGGCTCAGTTTGATTGAGCCTGTTCATGGACGGTACTGGAAAGTGCAGGTTACCGTCCACGCCCCCTAGCACCTGCTTAAGCAGAATTCAACATTTAAACACGAAAATTGCGAATTTGTGAATTTAGAAACTTCCGCAGATGTTTTTATTCGCGTTTATTATGGAACCTTCAACGTGACGGAGTAGTGCCCCAAGTAAAAGAATATGTGTACCCTAAACGAGAAAGCAATGGGCGGAATTAAATAAATTGGAATTTTGAAAGGGGATCTGAGGTTATGAAGCCTGCATATCACAGAAGAAACGTCAAAAGACAAATTTAAAAAGCAGGCAACATATCCTAAGGGTGATTATACAGTATTCAAGTAGGAATAGTGTAACCACCCAAGTTGAAAAATGCCAAATAGAAGAAACTTAAAGTACCACATAACATGTATACACAGCCATAATGTCGTATTGAATGATCTTCAAGGATCGAAAACATCATTGATTAAATATACGGGGAGACTTTATACAGCCGCCACATGGCACAAATAACACTTATGTGACAATTAAATAGAGAAAAACAGAACATAAAGAAAGCCCAACACGAAAGTAGTTAAAATGTTGCAGCCTCGGTTTGTTTGAGCTTGCTTATGTACGGTACTAGAAAGTGCAAGTTACGGTCTGGCCCCCCAGCACCGGCTTAAGCAGAAATCAACATTTCGCTGTCGATTACTTCTGTTAAGAACATTTATTTTACAAGTATATTAAACATTATTTACGAATTTCGTTAATTTCGTTTTCTTGATGACCAAACTTGCAAAAAGCAATGACAAGAAATATCTAAATAACTAGTAAAACACTTCTGGAGTATGAGTCTTTATAGTATTGAGACGTCTATACATATAGAAATATACTAAGATATACATTGAAAATCGATGGTAAGTGCAATTCTAAGCCCGATTTAAAGCAGTACGCATACATTAATGATTATTTTCATGAAAATTATGAAAATAACATTAAATGTATAATATTGTATAGTAACCAAAAGGAAGCAATTTACACATTATCTATGGCACTTACAACCCACGTTGATTACAAAAGAAGGTCAAAATATGCAAAAAAATGCCCTTACTGCATTAGTAGCGCAGTAGAAATACATGTATTGTTCCACATAATGAAAAATTCACCATAAATCGCTCATAACATGTAAATTATTACTTGAATCTTGAATCTTTTACATTTTTTACAAGTTTGATCTATTGAAATAGTTCGCTGATCTAGAGGCATGCTGCTTTTAGATAAGATAAAAGCGTTGTGCACATTGCTTTTCATTTTTGGGGGTCTTTTTTCCACAATAAAAATGATTATTCTGTTCAAATGAGACAATGGAGTGACCCAAGTTATTGTTCAAGATCTACATCACATGTCATACATATTTCCTGTTTTTCAGGTCAACATACCTTAGTGGAAGCGCTTTAACAATAAATTATCTCTTAGCGTAGCTACATTTTATAGCATGTGTGTGAATGATTTACCTAATGCATAATTTTGATAAGCTAGATAAGGTTTGGTAGCTTAATTCAAACAGATAACTACTCTGAAAAGATTTATGCTCAGAAAAACAGCTTACAGCAAAAGATTCATGCACAGATAACATAGACATCAAAAGGCTTTAGATATATATGAATAATGTAATCATTTATGTCAAGATTTAATCATAACTTAGTTCGATTGATAGAGTTGATATTTAGATTTATTTTTTAGATTGTAATTCAGTCAGTTTGTGCAAATGACGATTCTGAAATTTATGTAGTACATGCATCGTAAATGAAGTCATTCTTACCGTTATGTAGTTACTTCAGTTTTAAAGGCATATCATTCCTCAGAAACAAACAAAGTTTTACTTCTATAGAAAGGACAAACATGATTCTTACAACTTACGTTTAAATAATGGTGTAAGAGCATATTAGATGCTTAGCGGTCAATGTTAAAATTTTTGACGTAAAAGTAGCAAAATGTAAACAAAGTAGTATTTTGACTGACATTCATGTACTCAATTACTGTAACTAGACTAATTGCCAAAAAGCAACAGAAGAAAAATAAGCTCAGGTAAAAGTACACAGGAAATAAAAAGCTTCTTAGAAATAAAACAAGTAACACTTCTGGGGCATAATGTGCCTTTAAACACCGTTCATAGGAATATAAAGTGATTTCTCCCTAGTTATAACTATGCGACAATTAGTTAAAGGGTGATGTTATTCATTTTCAGGGTGGATAATATTTTAAAAGAATTTTGTAAGAATATCGAAGAAGATGTGCTGGTTACTTATGTACCTGTACTTCCTCTTGCAAATAATCATGACATCAGTGACGCAATTACTTTAGATGAGATAACGGAAAAGTGAACAAAGGATAAATGTTTCAGTGAAAGACGCTGGTTGGTTCACGGTGTGAGCACTGATAATAAAGAAGAAAATGGCATGCCTCAAGCGTTTGAATAGCTGTCAGATGAAATGTTAGCCAAAGAAAAAGAAAAACTGGCATTGATTATATTAGCTGGGGGAGATATGAAAGAAAAAACTAATACATGTCGATCTGACAAGGTGATAAAGACGAAATGAAAGGTTTTCTTTCTAAACTAGTTGAATCATTTAAAAGAGCACTAAATTGTTGATCAGTTACGGAACAATAATGACTGTTGTCAAGTTGCAAATAAATATTTCCTGTTGTGTGCCCATTTTGCAGAGGCAAAAAATGAGTATAAATCGATTTTAATTGCAGCTAACTTAACGATTTTGATGAGATCATTTTATGATGATAGTTTGACGAGTATTTAATATTATGTGAAACAAAAATGCTGAAATATAGATTCCTATCACTTCTATTGAAATTAATTTTCATCTGCATTCCCATTTTTATATTTTTTCTGTCCATCCATTTTGAGCAGATGGGTGACAAAGAAGAGCAAGATATTTGCATCAAATTTAAAGTTGACAATATAAATAGTTACAAAGTTTTGAGTCCTTCATACAATTTGAAGAAACTAAAGAAACTTGACACAATTATTAACCTTATCGAAAAACATCAGCACATATTTGCATAGTTCACTTCAGGACCATGGTCGCATTTATATGTCAAAGCTAAAGAATAAGTTAGACGTTAAAACGATCACATGCAAATTAATTTCTGATCTAATAGCAGATTTTCGTTCACAAATTAATGCACTCCAATTGTATAATCGGGAGAAGCTATCGTCGTCTGACTAAAATGCAAAATGTAATTTACATGAATGGGACCGTCTCCATGTAAAAAAATCATTTGATTTTGCGTTGTTAACACGAAATTATTATATTTCTTTTGCGGACCTGTTTTGTGAAGAATTTTGCTTGCATTCCACTGTATGACAAAAATGAAAAAACTGAAAATCTATGAAATGCACTTATGGAATCTTGAAATGATGAACTTGAATATTAATTTATAAAATTTTATTGAAAACGTATAACAAGACACGAACGGGTTACATAGACTTTCGTCAGTCAATTGTTCAATAAATTACAGTCTGGTTTGTTTCGCAGTTTGCTACGTGTCCCTCATAAGGGCAATAATTCTATACAGTAATAGCTATGAATTGTCATTTGTATGTTTTAGGTATTCTTCCCTTATCTAGCATTTCTAGTGCTACTATTGTGGCAGTGATCTTTAATTTTTATCAAAAACATCAATTACTCACCCATATGGACTTCTAGTCGAAGCTGTATCAACTAATTGCTGTTTAAGTATGGATACCCGTATAACGGAAGTGGTCTGTTGCTTTGTAGCTTTTTTCTTTTATATCACCTATGGATCTCTTTAGCACAGATGAAGTTTAAATGGAATTTTGACTAGCAATTACTTCGTTATGATATTACACTGGATGTATAGACACAAACTCTGCGCGTATGTTCGCTGTTTTAATTTATGCCAAATAAAATGGTCTAAAACGATAATAAAAATTACACATCATATAATTACAATTACAAAATACAATCAAATGCAAATACATGTATATTATGCTACAGGCATTTTCTGAAAGTAGGCATTTTGTAAAATCCCTAAAAGGTTTAGGCATTTTGTAACATTACTAGGCGTTTTAGATATTTTATAAAAAATTTCAGGAATTTTCAGGAAATATATAAAAGGTATTTTGTAAAATGCCAAATAGAATTTATGTAATAAATAACACAAATCATTATCTCGTTGAAATTTTAATGAATTGTGTTGAGAAGTTATTTATTAACAAATTGTTATTAACTTCTGTAATGCTATATTTATAAGTACACGAATTTTAAGTACAATTATCTATAGTGTTCATAGTGCAAATAATAATGTACAGTAATAACAGTTTGTGTGTTCCTCTATCATACAGTTTACTTATTTTTCATGCTAAGTTCAGGTGGCACCTACTGTTGCACAGCTGTCCAAAATTTCTACACAATCAACGATTTGTGTTACATCTGGACTTTATGTTTGTGTTGCAGCCACATTTACAAAAACCTTGCCCATCACAGATTGAACTTGATTTATCTGCCGGTCTAAATTGAATTAAGGTCTCCATATTCACATTTGATGGTGACATGAGCATGCTGTCGAAAATTTCAAACTGGCCATCTTTAATTCCAAGTTTGTAAACGGTATCTGATTTAACAAATATGATTACCTTTACCGCCCGCGATTAACTGAAGTTGTAGGAATAAGAACATTTGTACAAACTCCAACGGCGGACAATTATTTACATATGTTTAGATCATTTTTTAGTATTTTAGGATTAAGTGAAGCCACTGCCACCGCCATCTCGGACAGCATTATTTGCTGAGCATCACAAAGTTGACAAATCATCGTTGAATGTCTCCAAATTGTAGGACGTCAAATTTGAAATTTTGAAAGAAAAAAAAAGATTGACTAAAGCCTAATTAGAAATATTAAACAAAAAGTTGTCTCGGATTGACGGATGTTCGACGACTGTGGTACTTAAATACCGGGTATAACAGGAACTTTTAAATTAGCCGTCCGATTAGCTCAATAGGTAGAGCGTTGGACTGTGAATCGGGTGACCTGACGGCGCAGGTCACTTGTTGTGATTGATCATGAAATCCTTTCTACGGTCATATGCACCGTACCTCTGCTCTGGTATGTACAGAAGTAAAGTGAAGGTAACTAGTACTGGTTAACTGCATTGCTTGACAGATGCGGTGGTTGAACTGTGCTCCGGTGAATTCAATGTGTCGTGATCTAGAATGAAAACTACCAACACCACCACCGCCTACTTTTAAATAATGCTGACATATTACATGATATTGTATTTAAGTAAAAAATAAAGTATTACAATAATGGGACATTCTGTTAAAAATATAGACATAATACACTTACTTTTGACTGTAATAATAGTCCACTGTGGTGATTTTCTTGTCAGACAATACTTTCTTAACCTTTCGACGGCCATAGAGTAATAAAACGTACCAAAAATCGACTTCTCAAAAGTCGAGCGCTATAGTCATAAGAAGGCTATAACGTAATAAACCGGTATAAAATTTCAGCTTCCTGAAAGCTGGTGACTACTGTTTGTCGTAGGAAGGCCACCAAAATTTAGTTTTAAATGACTAAATTCTTGAAGTTTACCTTTCATTTATTTCATTCTGTTTAAAGTTGTTCAAATAAAAACACCAAATATGTTAATTGTATAGTGCCCTTTATTGACAGATACAGTAAATGTTTAGATATACAGTACACTTTTTAATTAATGTGGTAATCAAATCGATATCCAAATTAATTGAAGAAAATCTTCTTTGTGGACGTTTTACTCAACGTGGTATTCTAATGGCCGTGGTATGAAAGGACGCAGGCAAGTCGTGAACAACAAAAAGGCTATATAGGTAAATAACGTAAAATTTACCGTTTTGAAACGTTCAGAACTTGTTTTAAATACATTATTCAGAAAACAAGGATTGTGAGTCTGTTTGAACGTAATATTAACAGTGTTATACGGTATGGCTTTGTTGTTTATCGTATGCAGTTGAACAGCCATAGCGTAATATTTCGATTTTCATAAACACATTAAAAAAACCAGAATGTACGAAAACGAGGTTTTTACGGGGTTGCATGAAACAAAATTCAAGTTTTACGCTGATTTACGCTACGGATTCTAGAAAGGTATATTTTTGATACGTTTAACTACGCTATGGACGTCTGTCGTAATATAAGACTGGCTTTCAGAAATGTAAAAATTCGATACGTTTTCTTACGCTTTGGCCGTCCTACGGGTATAGCGGATGGCCGTCGAAAGGTTAAAAACCATTTTCGAGTTTTCCTCAAACATAAGACTATAGATCTGTGCCCGAGCCACTACTAAAGTAGACCAAGTGACGAGCTAATGAATTTATACAGGCATTGATTATACCGATTATACCTCCTCTGTTCACAAATAACATATTCAACAAATTGACTAATCTTTGCAGGGAATTTCTTTAAAAAAAATAAAATGCCTAAAATACTGCATGTAGTCAATTTGTTGGAAGCTTCTTTATGATTTCAGGGATTTTACCAAAAAATACTAGAGATACATTATAGGCATTAATTTTTACAAAATGACCAATCACTTCATCCTTTTTACAAAATGTCTGCTTTTAACATATACACAATCGACGCGGATACGAATACAATAATAACTTGATCTTTATATAATTTCTTACCACAGCGTCTGTAGAAGTAAACAATATTTCGCCTGTTTTGCGTGTGATATGTGATTAGTTTAAAAAAAAAGTTGTTTTCTGTGTATTCTTCACGACCTCATATTTGGAAAGGATGTATGTATGAACTGTCCGCCAGAACGCAGGAGAACTTCTATACTGAGTATATATAACAAGACAAATTCAACGGCGATGCAACATTTAAAGAAATGTCAGAAAAAATACAAGTTTACAAGTAGAACAAAACAGGACAAACTTAAATTCCGGGGCCTCATTTGACTTGTGGATGTTTAAAGATGACAGCATTAAATTTCTTAACGGAGATTCGGAATCCAAAATCAAACCTTTGTAGTTTGGTATTTAACGCGATTTTAAATTTTGTGGTCTAAGCCCCCAATATATAAAGATATTGGCTTTTAAAAACTTACGTTATCACCGTTACCCAAACAATTGTGTAAACATCCTGTGTATTATGAGCGTATAATCAATGTTGGTTTTGGTTTTAACCTGATCATTGATCACCACGGTCAATGATTGTGTGCTTTTGAATTAACATTTTCAGATGTAAACATAAAGGTAAACAGGTACTGTGTACAACCTTGCCAAAATATGCATATCTACTGTTTGATTTTCAGTAGGTTCAAAGTGAAAGTAGGAATGTTCAAATATTAAAGATAATATCTTTATGTCTATGACAGAATATACAATATCTATACTCCACTGGTACCAGAGCTTTAAGTTGCTGTCAGTTAATTATTTTGATTCAAAATAATAAAATCATCAACAACTACACTTTTGCTCTTAGTCTCTTTCTATAAATAAGTGTTTATAATGAATTCGAGACGTTTCGGCCCCAAGACGTATCGGCCCCAAACTACCCAAGACGTTTCGGCCCCGGACGTTTCGGCCCTTTACCAAATCGTGGTAGCCTGTAACAATTCAAAATAATTGTATAATCACGTATATGGTAATAACAATTAATTTAATCCTTTATGTTATAGCTGATTTATTGAATTGTTTTTTTATGTTTATCTTTTTTGCTAATCAAAAGATATTCACATGTTTTATAGCCATAAATTAAGACGCGCTGCATATGTTGATTTAAGTGAACAGTGTCTTTTTTGTTGTCTGTTTTTGTTGTAGTTGTTTTTTTTTCTTTTCTTTAAACGTGTAACGATCGTTATAATTTTACAGATTATTCATATTATCGTGTTTAATTAAATCAATGTAACAAAATTTTGCTCCAAATCAAGTTATTTATCATTAAATTAAAGCATTCTCACCTTCTACATCATTATTGGTGCGCACACTCTGTCTACCTGTACGAAATTTTGGCACGGATTCTGGGCGGAATTGGCACGGAATTGACACGGAATCAGTGATTTCTGGGCTGAACAGGAACGGAAACGCAAATTCCGTGTCATTCCGTCTCACAAGAAAAATATTTTGTTCACTTTTCTGGGCGGAAAACTAGAAAAATTCCGGCTGGAATTTTATTTGGGAGCAGAATTTATACTTAAACATTTCATCTTGGACAGAATTTTCAACTTTGAAAATTTCTTGGGAAGGAATGGTCTTCACTATGGGCGGAATTCTATACTTAAACATTTTTCTTGAACAGGAATTTCACATATAAGAAGTCTAATCATAATTGTTAACTCTTGTTTTTTGCACTTGCAGACATTGAAATTTTACCAACTGTACTTATTTTTTTGTTGAAGCAATTGATACTTGACCAATAATTACAGGTGTATTTTAGAATAAATAGGGTTATATTTTAGACATTAAAATATCCTAAACAATGTTTTTAAATATTGTGGCAAATGATATATTGTCAGACTAAATTTAGCAAATCTTTTTTGTACTGGAAAAACAACTGTAATAATCTTAGTGTAGAACTTGAAAACATTCACCTACAAAATGCTTAAGTTTATAAAATTAGCAACATTGAAATAAGCAATGCTGTTTAAATTTGAGTATCAGGACAGCCACCAGGACAAGATTAGTGTGCTTGCCATTTTAAACTTCTAAGAAATCATGATTTTGTTATAAAAAATAAACAAAAAAAAAACAAAACAGTGCATGAAATAATCTCATATATTATGCCTTTTAATCTATATAGAATTGATCAGCCAATATGCCCAATAATTGCTTTCATTTAGGTAAATAAATACTACAATATATATCCACTGAAGATTTTACCACTACACAGATCAGAGCTCTGATAAAAACTCACTGACCAGCAGTTTCCCACCATCTTAAACTCTTTGCATGACTAATTTACTCCACTGGTCATTCCAACAGATCAGGCTGTTCCATTGAATTATTTTGGGAAGAGATAACATTATAAATTTCATATGCAGAATTTGTCTAGGACATTGCAAAATTTTTTTTTTGTTCAGAAATATGTAATGATTTTTAAATTCTAAATATATATCTAATTTGTTACTTGAATTTTTGTTACATTCAATGAATGGAGGTTGAGATGATGAGTAAATTAACCCTGTTTTACATAATGATTGACCTGTCCATGCAGTTATACAGTTGTGAATTTTGAATTCTAAGATATCTGGGTCTGCAAAAAGAGTGCAAATAACAGAGGATGTCTACTTGATATTTTAACAATTTTTTGGAGATATACTTTTGTTTAAGATCTCAAAGTGTTTTAGTATTGGTATGATAAATAAGTGTGAAAACATGGGACAAGGAGATGAACAACATAATCAGGTAATTATAAACCTTTAGTTACATTAATGCTGAAGCAAGTTTTATATCAAACTATCAATGGTAGCAAACTAAAATTTGTAACAGAGGTCAATGTTGTTTTTATATTTTCAACTTCATACATTTGTTTTTTTCTGATAATTGTTTTAAATCTTTATTACATGTTAAATGACTGTAAAATATAAATTATTCAATGATTCTATATAATGATTGTGTGTATTGTATGAATTAATAGCATGTAGTAGATCTTTTTCATTTCCTGGAAATTAAACAAATTAAGTCAATTTGATTAAATAGGAATAAATGGTACAAATTCAGAAGTTTGTACAGCTGAACACAGGTCATCATAATCATTTATTATTTTTAACATGTATGTGTTGTGTTTCCAATGGAACAATCTAAAATTACATTTTACACTCATATTTTCAGACTGGGAGTTAAGTGCTGACTGTGAGATGCAAAGGTGTTTCAATAAAGATGTGCAGTATTAATCCTGAAAAGGTATGTTTTTAAATCTCAATACATTGTACTTTACTATTCAACATCTTTCTTTGAAAAAATACATAACCAGTAGTAAATAGTGTCACAAATAAGCAGTTAATTAATTCTTATACAGAGCAATTCCTTAAACACTTGTGCACTGAAATAAGATACTGCGTAAGCTTTAGTATTTTGAATATTCATAAGCACTGTTTTAATATTTAATACTGTTGAAACATAAAATATGATATTATCAAAAAATATGAAATATAACTGCATATAATTATGCAATCAAACATAATTAATTACTACATTTTTGTTTAATTAATTATTAATTTTATCATTAAAGGTGAGCACAACCACAAGAAGTTCTTGGAAACACAGGCAGTGGACTTAAAACAGACATCAATTAAAGAAATAGTAATTTAAATAATCAGAAACATTTGAAACAAATTTATGATTGAAACACTCTCAGCAAAAAAATTGCAAAAAAAACAAAGTGTTGGATTCTAAGAAAACCAGTAACTACCAAAACCTGCAGGTAGAAAAAAAACTGTTTGTGTTATAGTGAATGTATGGTATTCTATTCTGTATTTGGACTAAAAGGATATGTATTAAATTTTGTGAAAGAAAAAATTTAATGTGATACATTATTGATAATTTTATCCCCAAAAAATGTGATCATGTTAAACTCTGATACATTATTGATAATTTTATCCAAAAAAAATGTGATCATGTTTAAACTCATAAAAATTCCGCCCCAATGAATTCTGTCCCAAAATTCCGCCCAGAATTTTGTTTGACAATTCCGTTCCAAAATTCCGTTCCGAAATTCCGCCCCGAGATTCCGCTTCAAAATTCCGCCCGAGATTCCGCTTCAAAATTCCCGCCCCCAAGATTCCGCTTCAAAATTCCGCCCCAACTCATTTGCATATATTTCGTCCCAATTCCGCCCGGAATCCGTCCCGTTTCCGCCTGGAATCCGGCCGGAATCCGTGCCAAAAGCAAATGGTTTAACACTTGTATATTTGGGGGAGAATTTAAATTTCTGGGCGGAATCTGCCATTGAATTCCGCCTCATTTCCGTGCAGAAAATTTCGTACAGGTATAGACGCACCACTGCCTCACCGACCAAACAGTAATTATAGGTGCATTAGGTGCAATATATTAATTTTTGGGAAAACCTATTCAAAACTGACCTACCTAGCTGTATCTCATTTTCGGTGCTGCCATCACATATATCGCATGTCACTGCATGCTGTCTCCCACGCACAACGTTATTGCACTCAATGCACAGATCGGACATTTCTGTCCGTTTATCAGTCACAATTTTTACACTTAAAATCTGATTGTAAGTATTTAATCACAGTTAATTTCCAGCAAATAATTTATCTAATTTAATTTTATATATAATGAAATTATTCCAACAATTTTACGCACAAACACTTTATTTTCGAATGTTATAACTTATCTATAGCAGGTACATAGCATTTATAATTTGGTTTCAGTTTTTCAATCAGTTTTATAACATCTAGCATCTATCATTATCTAATAGCAATTAATGATCAACATTATTTTTTGTCCAATCACATTGTAGTATTTTTCAAATTTCTGCTAAGTCTAACTTTGGTTAATGTGTACTAACTAAATAAAATTTACTTAATCTGTCGTCTAACCAGTCTAACAAATTTCAGTAATGCATTATATTAGGGAGGAGCTAGAGGTGTGGTTTCACTCTGAATTGTAAAATATAAAGGTTAGCAAAACAATGCCTCCTAAATGTGAGGATACAATCAATTGATTTATTACGTAGATAATACATGTGGGGCACGCAGAGACAAATGATTACATAGTAACTTTTTAGCTCGACTTTTCTATGAAAAGGGGAGCTATCCTACTCGCCCCGGCGTCGGCGTCGGCGTTAGCGTTGGCGTCACACCTTGGTTAAGTTTTTCGTACCACCCCACTTTATTTCAGAAGTATTACAAGTATGGCTTTGAAACTTACCATACTTGTTCACCATCATAACCTCCATCTACAGACAAGAGTACATAACTCTGTCAAGGTTTTTGACAGAATTATGGCCCTTTTTTGACTTAGAAAGTGTATTGAGCTTGGTTAAGTTTTTTGTACCACCTCACTTTATTTCAAAACCATTGGAGGTATTGCTTTGAAACTGACCATTACTTGTTTACCATCACGACCTTCATCAACAGACAAGAGGACATAACTCTGTCAAGGTTTTTGACAGAATTATGCCCCTTTTTGACTTAGAAAATACATTGAATATGGGTAAAATCCACTTATTGCCTTAACCTTTGAGATATTGCTTTGAAACTTTTAATGCTATTTCACATCATTACCCCCATCTGTACGCAAGAGAAGGTAACTCTGTCAAGGATTTGTTTTAAAAATTAAGGCCTTTTATCGACTTAGAACTTGGTTAAGTTTTTAGTACCAGTCCACTTTTTGACTGAACTGTTTGAGATATTAATTTGAAAGTTGGAATACTTGTTTACAATCATGATTCCCAAACATGTCCAGGAGAAGGTAATTCTGTCAAAGATTTTATTTGAATTATGGCCCTTAACTGTCAATGTTTTGTATTATAGGCAAGCACTAAAAAAGTCGAGCGCGCTGTCTTACGGACAGCTCTTGTTTATATCCTTTTAACTCTAAGAAAAATGTCTGTTATAAATTGCTGACTGTTTTAACTTTATATTTTCTAGAAAAAGTAACCAAAAAAATATTTTCTGTCACTTGATAGGAATTAACTGCATTAACAATCCTTGATATTAAGAATACAATGATTACATTTTTGGCTGGAAAACTCATTATAAACTAACCCCCTCCACATGTTAACCAAAATTGACACATAGAAAAAAAAATGAACTGTTTTTCAAATGAGCTAATCAATAGGGATTTTAAATGTTAGTGAATAACTTTAAGCTAATAACGAATTTGTATCAATTAATAATCTCTAATTTTTCTCACATTTTCCATTTATTTTAAAAGGATGTACACATTTCATTAACTCCATTGTTTTTACCTACATGTAATTACTGTAGATAAAGGTCTTTGACATTTCAGTAAAAATGTGCCTGATTGTATGTTGAAAGGGCCATTTATTTAGCTTATCTAAATGTGAAATGTTGTTAATTGTTGTTAATCAATCAAGCAATATACTATAGTGGGGCCGAAACGTCTCGCGGAAAAGGGCCGAAACGTCCAGGGGCCGATTTTTCGACTGGGGCCGATTTGGTTTGGGGCCGAAATGTCCTGCTTGCTTTATAATACAGATATTGACAAGCATCAAAACGTTATTTTATAGTTTTTTGAATGAATTACAACAAAGTAAAATGACTTTAAGGCCAAGAAGGGTTTTAATGAGTGTAGGAAAAAGACATTGAAGGTCAGGTATCAGTGTTATACTCATACTTAACATCACCATATCATCATTTATACTAATAGGGGTGTATTAGCATAATCTATTACTATAGTGTTGATATATTATATGATTATTTGTTTTAGTTTTGTATTATTTTGTCTTTGGATTCAGATCATGGCTACTAGTACGAATAGAGAAGACATATTGAATGACAGTTCACGGTCAAGTGTTGTAGAAAATCAAGGTGGCCTCAGATTTCTGCATGGTTTTGATGACAAGAACATAGCTCCAGTACCAAAACGGTTTGATATTACCATTGTATGATATATTAAGATGATAACATTTTAATGTTTCTTGATGTTTTGAGCTTGAAATTAAATTATCAACAAATTGATAAAGAAAAGAAATAAAGAAATGAGCCGCGTCATGACAAAACCAACATAATGCGTTTGCGACCAGCATGGATCCAGACCAGCCTGCGCATCTGGCAGTCTGATCAGGATCCATGCTGTTCGCTATCAGTTTCTCTACTTGCAATAGGGTTGGTTAGCAAACAACATGGATCCTGATCAGACTGCACAGATGTGCAGGCTGGTCTGGATCCATGCTGGTTGCAAACGCACTTTGTTGGTTTTGTTATGGCGCGGCTCAAATGTTGTTTGACAACTCAAGTATGAGTTTCAGTAAATCACAAATTTCTACAGAGTACAGATTAATTGTAACTATATATTAATGCAATAGTCCTGTCATTGATTAAAGTGAATTAATATGTCTCTGCTGAATGCAGTTTACAAAATTTTTGTTTGAATTTCTGACCAGGTAATTTTAAAGCATTTAAACAAGGAGAGCAGTTGTTTTTTTTTTTCATTCTTTTACATTTATGAAAGACATACATGTACATGTGTATGTATATACATGTACATTCATTATAAATTTTATTGTTTAATCTAAGCTTCCTCATTTTTATAAGGCCTCATAAGGCCTAACATGATATTGTTTGTTTTTCCTCCTGCTGCCTGCCCACAAAAATCACTGCCACCCAGTCAAATAAAGGAAAAAAAATCAGGTTGAGCACAGAATACTCAAAAAAATATTATCGTGTATTTGTCTCCTTTGTCTCCTCTGGGATATATATTGATTAAAACTATAACATTTAAAATTGGTTCTAACTTTTGAGTATATGCTTAGCATTCATAACCTTTTTTTTCTGAAATTCAAATAAATTTTTCTCCAAATTTACCTACCTACCCTATTCAAGCAGGCATGGGTCTCAGGAAGGGAAACAATGATACATGTAATTTTATGACTAGCCTAATCTTTAAGATCTGTTGATATTTCATAAAAAATGTGGGATATAGAGTGGTGGTGGTGTTGGTAGTTTACACTCCGGATCACGGCAGTAAGCAATATTGAATTCACCAGAGCAGAGTTTCAACCATCGCATTGGGATATAGATATTCTTTACACTGTTTAAATGTTCTTACACTCATCAACTTGCCAATAAAAGCAGACTTTAATTTACAGCATATACATATGTTTTAAAGGAGCTCAACTGAGGAGCAAAAGATTTTTAAAAAAATTTAATTTTTACATAGATCCATTGTGGCCACATAAAAAGGAATTTTGCAAAAAGTAATGAAGAAATACAGTCTTAGAATTAAATTAAAAAATCCTTTTAATTGAAAGTCCTTATTTTGTGTGATTCTGGATAGAATGATATGAGCAGGGTCTTTAAAATAGAATTTGAAAGACCCTGATAGGAGTTTATAAGCGTTTAAAAACTTTTCATTTTTGGGTCATTTTGCATACTTAAAATGATATTATGTAAAAAGAGGGAGTGTAAAAATGATCAGAAATATTACACACAAGTTATTTGTTAAGACCTACATCAAATGGTACATAAATCTTGAAAAACATATTTTCACTCCCAGCATGTCATCTTGACAAAATCTCAATTGAGTCCCTTTAATTGAAAAAATACATGATGAAGTCAAATAATTCTTATGAATTATTTTTATAGGCTGAACTCAAGGATGAAAGGTTATAAAAATGAAAAAAAGACAGCTGAAGAACTTGCTTCTAGTTTGAAATTGGCAGAGGAGAGAAAACAGGTACCAAACCTTTAATAAAAGGAGATAACTTGTCATTTCCTAAAGTTTTTTTATTGTACCAGTTACCTCCCTTTGACCATATAGTAGATGTATTTCACTAATATACAAATTATTTTTTTTTTTAAACAGACAGTCCTTTCTTTGATTATCAAATTAGATCTTTTATAGCTATACGTAGATATCTAAACTTTTATATTAGAAATGTGCTGATGGAGGGCAGAGTGTTATAATATGGTGTTGCTGTGCTCTAAAGAAAAACAAGGGTTCTGGTTAAACTATCAGAGATTGATTAGATGTTAATAGAACCTCTTTCAATATGTACAAAACCATTTGATTCTTTTATGGGAAAATAATAAAATAGGACTGAAAAGCGAACAGTGCAAACCATGATCTGACCACAAAGAATCAGCTGGTCTTGGTTTGTACTGGTCAGATAGGTAGACTCAGTTGCTGCCAGCTGGCTAAGGGTAAATATAGGTGTTAAAGGTTATAATTTAAAGTGAACCTTTTAAGAAAAGTTGTCAAACTTATTCAAAATAAAACTATTGTTTATACTTATCTTTTGTCTACAGAAACACATGGACAATGTAGCAAGGCAGGCGAGGTTAGTGAGTGAGGAAGCTGTTAGATATGACAAGAATATGCAGTCTAAACTGGGCCTGTCTAACCAGTCCAGGCAGTTACTGGGAAATAAAACACAGTCTAGTCAATCCAAGGGAGGTAAATGGTACAGTCATGCACTAAAGAAAGACTGAACATCTGTCTATTAAACCAAAGATGAAATTGTAGTTGCAAGATGTACATAACTTTATCTCAGAATGGAAATATGCTATGCAGCAATATTTTATATTGCACTTATTAGAGATAGATGCATCTGTCAACTAGATTGGAGCTGTAAGAGAACAAACAAATACATCTTGTCTATGACAAACAGATTCTGATATATTGAGATCTGCAACAAAATCTAATTGTATCATAATATATACCTGCTCTATTTGTTGCACTGCAAGTATGTGTTGACAAAGGGGACAGACAGTTCATAATATTGCTGACATAATATTTTATGTTGATGAAAAGATATTTAAAAAATGAATTCGAGTTTTATTGATGATGTTGTTTAAGATTGTAAGCATTTAAATTTTTTGAATTGGAATATTTATTTTGATTAATTGTTTTATGATGTTGAAAAATAACTTTTAGATCTTACACTGCTTTACCCTAAATTGTGTAATGGACTAACCCTGCCTTAGAACTCAGAACTGTCCACTATCTATTTTAGGGATTTTAAAAACATTGAAATTTTGTATCCAGCAGTCAGGCTAGACTTCATATAAGAGAAGACTATCTGTTTACTTTGGGCAAAGTCTTCCAATAGGAACAGCTTTTGTCACGGGTGTAAAGAAAGATTTGAATTTTTTTGAGTTTCACAAAAATGCGTAAATGATACGCAAATGTATATTGGTAATCTATTAAAGGGACTCAACTGAGTTTTATCAGATGTATAGTTATGATAATCTATTAAAGGGACTCAACTGTGATTTTTTAAGATGAAAGGACTGGGACTGTTTTTGCAAGATTTGCAAAGCATTTAATGTAGGACTAGACCAATTATTTGTGTGCATATTTCCAAACCATTCCCTTTTTCTATTTTTAGGACCAAGAGTAGTACAAAACTCGAAATTTAATTTTATATTAGTATATTTCTTTATTATCCTTTGCAGATTTGTTACATTTTTAGAGTTTCACTTGATCTGTGAATGAATTTCAAATTTTATGTTTTTAGGCATTTTGACCTCAGTGGAGCTCCTTTAAATGTGCCTGGGTAATTTATTTCTTGTGATGAGCATAATAATGGTCTTTTATAATCCTGTTGTTTTTATCTTTTGCTGTTTAAGAATTAATTAATTGATAAAGATATTTACAGCTGTATATGGGCATATTTTTAGTATTTACGATATAATATTGTATCAAAAGACATAGCATGTTGCCTAATTTTTACAGTAACTTAGTATTTTTTGATAAAGTATCATCTAGAAACACCTGCTTATTTTAACTTAGACTTACACATGACAAATTTTTTAAATGAACCAAAACAGTTTACTTTAGAAAATTCATACCATGAAATCTTACTTATAAATACATATGGTAACTGCCAGACAGCAATGTGTGACAGTTGATTTTTGATTTCAGGCACAGTAACGTGAATAAACTAAATTAACCACGAAAACATGTTTAAGGATTTTTTCAATTTTTATAATTGATAATTTTCATGGATGTAATTCTAATTGTAAATCTGAAAATACCTTAACAAGTCTTGAACAAGATATTTAAAATTCATTATTATTTTTTCAATTACGAATAAAAAATAATATTGACGATAAAAAGTAATGAAGTAAACGTATAAGTTTATATCGGCAAATAAAACTCAAAATGACTGTCACGTCATACTTAATAAAATAATTTTTCATAACAAAAAGGCTATGACGATTTCTTGAAAAATGAAATGTTTATTTATTTCGCCATTATGTTATTTAATAAAGTGAAGAAACTGTTTTCGTTTAAAAATTAATGCATGGTTTTAGCTTGTATTGATTGCCAGTTTTAATTCTTTCCATGAAAGTATTATCATGTGAACTTTGAATTGGGCAAGTCAAGAAAAAAAATTTCCAGTAAGTTAAATTTCCTGGTGACTTTAGCGTGGAAATTTTGTTCATGTTCAGAATTAAAGGTGATTTTAAATATTTCCACCAATTCGTGCTAAACTTTTTCCGAGTCGAAAGAAAAAATGCCGCCATTTACAAATTCTAAGTTTCAGGGGCGGAGGAATTTGTTTTCAAGAATTATTTCTTTGAACAAAAATCCACCTTTATAACGAAATTCGCTATTTTAAAAGTAGATTATTTTGTTATTTTGACATTTATTATGTGTTACATGATAAATAGAAAAACATGCTACTGTCTTTTGATATCAATTTTATCAGGCTCGGCTGATATGGGCAGAAAGGGCTCGGCAAGCCTCGCCCTTTCTAGCCCATATCAGCCTCACCTGATAAAATTGATATCAAAAGACAGTAGCATGTTATTCTCTATATGACACAAGTAACTCTAGTATTTATATGATACACGTATCTCTAGTACCCTGCTACATATCTTAAATAGACTTATCCATCACATGACAATTTTTCAATATGAACAAAACAATTTATCATTTTTAGGGAAAAATTCAAAATACATACTCGAAATCTGTACTTACTAAATAGCATATAGTGCACACCTTGACCAGACAGCAATGATGTGACAGTTGATTGTCGTCTGCACTGGTTTCATGTGCCACAGACTAAGTGTAAATAGATCTATAGATGTACAATGAATTTAAAGATGTTTAAAGTGATTTTTTACAGTTTTTGTAAAAGGTTGATAATTATGATTGTGGGATGTTAAAATGTTGATTTGATAAGGGATACATGAAAAAATACCTATAACATAAGAGATCTGTGAAAACATACCTTTAACATGTCAATAAACGTTTATTTTATAGAATAGTTACAATATAAAATAATATTGACGATAAAAAGGTACATGAATTAAACAGGATTATAGCCGGAAGTTTATATCAAGAGCTTTAAAAGTATTAAATACTTCATATATGACTGTAACTGTTGTCATATTGAATAAAATAATATTCTTATTTATACAATAAAGAGGATCGAGATTTAAGTTTAGATAGAATAAGGAAAAAGGTGATTAAGATGACGGCATTATACTGTATGCAGTTTGAAATAAAGCTCCAGCTCCTGGAGATGGCTTATCTATATTTAAGAATTAATGTCATAGTTATTTGAGTTTATCTATACTCGCCACCAGTTGCCCATATGTGCGAGTCCTCCAGAAGAGCATTAGTCATTGAGGACTTTGAAGGACAGTCGAAGATACAAATATATGCCAAATTACAGAAGCTTCTCCTGGTTCTTTAGCGTGCAAAGTGGTTAAGCACTCATAGACAGAACCTCGAGTTAAAGACTGTTTTAGAAATTATAGTTGGCCAGCCCAGGGAATGTCGTGGCTTAGCTTCTGGTTACCGTTCAGTAGGTTTTGAATTGTTATGGAACATAAGTTAGGCATTGTTTCTAACAGATGAGATCTATAACGGAGAAATACATTCTCTTCCGAGCTTAACATTTGCCATTTTCTCTCGACTGCATAAAATTTTCTCGGGTATTGGTACATGTCTTTTACTTTTCTCTGAAAGGACAAAGTTGTTTTTGAGTTTTGTGCTTTTGAACAATTTGACTGTATCAAGCGTAGACCCCGAGTTTTCTTCCTTCTGACATGTTTGGATCGAGCCGCGGGCACCTGAACTTTCGTGTACAAACTAGGTTTTAAAATGACTCATTATAATCTGAATATGACAACATTTTTTATCAAGCTTATCAGCATACTTGTAATAATACTTCACGTTATTGTGTTAGATAAATAAAAATATTGCGTAAATGAATGGAAATAATGTTATGTCCCGATCCTACCTTCAAATAAGTTTCCATTGCAGGCCTACAATAATATACTATCAATAAAATAATGTAAATAATAAGATATGTAAAAAATGTTGATTTTCATTACCAATAGTTTGTGCTAAGCTATGATATGTATAAATATTTACATAATATGGAGTTTTCACTTTTATACAAAAGTAGGACAAATTAGTAGATAAAGGGATACTTTTAACTGTGACATGTTTTATCTTATATCTGTGGACAGTGAGTACCCTAAACTAATAACACCATTTTTACAACCTCTTCAAAAATTGGAATTTTGTAAAATTGTCCTGAACTTTTGTCTCTTTATTTTCTCAATATTTATTATCAGCTAGTAAACAATATCCACGTTATATACAAACATTAAACATTGTATGATCATTGACACATGGACGACATACTTAAAGTGGCGGGAAGCATGCAAGAAACAATTACGTGGCTATGAATTTTCTTGTTAAATTCATCACGATGAACGACTTTGAATTTTCTTGTTTTAAGTCAATAAGAACGACAGACTTAAGTGGCTATGACTTTCAAGTTTCATCCATCAAGATGAACGACAGACAAAAGTGGCAACGAATTTCCCCTTACATTACGATACACGTAAGTGGTGACGATTTTCTTCTTTTTATCCACAAGAACGACAGACGTAAATATCTATGAATTTCTTGTTATATCCATCCGCAATGAACGACATACGTAAATGGCGATGAATTTCTTGTTACAGTCGATAAGATTATTATTTCTGCTTTAACTAAAGTGAGAAGGAACCTTATATTTACTGATCTTTACCACCGATGCCATGCTTATAACCTCGTCGACTTACGGATTTAGAACGGAAAATGTCGAAAATTTTCGATATGGTGTCACATGTGTAAAAATGAATTTGATTACTAATGCTGTTTTTTCCTCTTTCTTGATGAAAAGAAAACAATACCAATTCAACGTAATGTATATACTTTAAGAACCTAAATGAGAATAAGAATGGTCAGTGTTTAGTTTAAATTATCGAACGAGGTCATCTAATTAAGAATGGGTAGAAATCAAATTTTTGATATTGTTTATTCCAACTTCGATACAATTGATACTAAATTGAGTAACACATGTACATAACAGCAAAATGAAATACATGTATATCATAGCTAATAAAAAGGGAAGGTCTTATATTTACAATTTATATCCTGTATTATTAGATCCTGTAACACATTATTTTTATGGTTTTATATACAAATCATGATGCTCAAATTAAGATTTATCGATATTGTAAGTTCCAAAAAACATTAATTATAAAGATATTACCGAATTTAATATTTCATGTAAATAAAGGGAGGTAATTAGAATTTTGTTCTCTATAAATTCTAAGTAAATTTTTTCAATAAGAAATGAATACATATAATTTAATGATTACCTTAAATATGTACAAATATTTGCAATACATATTTTACATATTCTTCGATGTTTGAAAATTGATCAATTTGCATAATTTCATACATATATAATTTTATGAAGAGTGGTATGCAATCTCAATTACAAAACATACAGGATCTTTAAACATTATTTACTCTTGATTAAATCATGATTTGGTCTTCAAGTTATAGAAAATATTATCTGACAACATTTTTTATCTTTTTACCTGACTATTTAGTATGACCACGTGGCATACATGTGATAATATAAATGTTTGCATGGCGATATACAACATTTAATTCTGAAATAAATTGTATGTTATGTTCTGTTTAAAATGCAATGCGACATTTTGATTTAAATTAAGATGAGAAGGAGTTTACACGGTCACACATGACTTGTTATCAAATCCGCGAAATTTTACAGTGTATATTATAATGATTCAATATATCCATATATTTTACAATTAGGAAACTAAGAAATTGTTTAAAATATATTTGGATATCGAGTAAATGTAAGTTTATTTTTTTATTGATCTGGCATTAGTCTGTTGGCGGTAACTGATCCTAAGCTTGCCAACAGTGCTAACCGCGAACATCCGGAACATCCGGGTCGTGTGATCAAGGTTTGCATTGTCGGCTATTCATTCAATACTTATTTTGATAATAATCCAAAAATGATAATCATTGTTATGGTTTTGTCGAAACTAAAAGAAAGATTAGTCTGTTTTAGATATTTGGCGTGGCGATGGGTAAATTAGAAGCAAAAACACTTTAGTTTGGATAAAATAACACTTTTGCATGGAAGTTATTAATCTAGTTTTCTTTCTTTTTAAGATAAAAATCAACTGCATTAGAATAGACATATTCAAACCTTGCTGGTATATACAGTTCACACCTGTCACTTATGTTTCAACTTTAACACAGGAAGTAGATAAGTTAATACACTTTTTACTCGTTGAATCATTATTTTTACTTACTTTTTTCTATTTATTTATTCATTTATTTATTTATTTCTTCTTTTGTATTTTTTTAACCATTTACATCTTTACTTAAGTAATTAAAATCATGAATAAAATTGAGTGTACTACTAGGATTTTTGGTAATTTTAAAGATAAAATTTGGCCGGTATCGATTCACTAAGGGGGTGTTATCGATGGGAAGTAATAAAAGAAGTGCTATATCAAATTAAAATATACTGAATTAATTCCCTTTGTATGTCCATTTTCTGAAAATATTTATGTCAAGTGGTTGTTTTCCGTGTCATATCCGCCCTTTATTAATAATTTAAAAAAAACTACTTAGTACAAGATCTTTAGAATAGTTTAGTGAAAGTTTATTTATTTTTATCGAATTTTGAAAACGTTCTACATAATCAGTTTATCATCATTTTATAGAAACATGTACAGTATTATTTCATGTATAACTTCAGAAAAGTAATGGAGGATATATCCTTATTTGTGTCTCGTGCCATGGACAATATTGGGTATGGTTCAAATATGGTCAACTTAAGGAGAAAACTCTGGCAGAAGTACGCTCTTCAAGAGAACAAGATGAAATACCACAAGTCTGGCAGACATCTTATAATAGCCGGAAGTAAGGCAGAGGGCGTCAGTGCGGTCTACGAAAGCGACATTGATCATATGTATGTTCTTACAGATGTCGTCTGCGTCCAGGATGCAGACGACCATTCTACAAGCGATGTAACGTGTTTCCAACGAGACGACAGAAACGCTCCTCCAGGGTACACCCAACTTAAACTTATAAATTTTAAACGAGGAAGAAACTCAAAGATAATTCACAAAGCTTTGTTTGAAGACTCGGACAACAATAAATATATCTCAAGTGCGTGTTTTATGGAAGAACAGCGGAATGAGATCAAGAAGAGACAAAGCTTGCTCCCTCAACAAAATGCAGTTTCTTATGGTAAAACTTCAGGGCCTGCTCTCCCGTTATCTACAGGCGATTTAAAGGCTGATATTGTAACAGGATTTGTTTGCCAACACCCGAATGAACTTAAAGCATGGCTTAAACGACACCACGACTATGGATGGCCAAATTCTGGCGTCATTGAAAATATCCGAGTATCTTCGGAGAACTGTGAATTAGTACCTATAGGTTGCCGTGACAATGAGTCAAACTTCAAAGAATGGCGTTTGTGCTTTATAAACACAGAAGTTAAGCTTGTGCAAAGCTTTAATTCTACACAAATTAAACATTATGTACTTTTGAAGCTAATTGCAAAGGATATCCTTAAGACTGTAAGTGACGAAATTACTTCCTTTATTATGAAAAATGTATGTTTTTGGTTGGCTGAGATACTTCCTTATACGGTGTTCAGAGAACAGAAATTGCTGGAGATAGTTTTATTTTCTCTAACTTTTCTCAAATACTGTTTATCAAAATGGAATTTTCTCCCGTATTATATTATTCCTGATAGAAACCTTTTCTATGGAAAATTTTCATTTGGGAAAAGGCAGAAGATTGTAGGCTTGCTGGAGAAGCTAGATAAAGAAGGGCCACAACTCTTACTGCGATGTGCTAAACTTCGTATTGCGATGCTTGTGTTGTACAAAGCACCTGATCAATTATGTGTCTACAGCAAGAATAGGGACGAGGTAGAAATTCTTAAACTGCGTCATATAATTGCAGCCATTGCGAGAGAATACGGTGTCAAAAACGACGATGTTTGCGATAAATTAAGATGCAAAATGGCGGATATTGTATTTCCGGACTGGAAGTTAATGAGTCACGAGGGTATTGCTGTAAACGATACAATAATCGAACGAGTATATCAAATGTTATCATAGGATCAGAGATCACATTATTGCGTGTATCTTGTAATCTGTTCAACTTAATCTGAATAAAACATTTTTATCTTACATGTTACACTTGTTTGTCTGCTAGGTTGCCCATAAAAATAGATGTTTAACGTTATTATTTGTTTTTTTGGGGGAAAACTAAGTTTGAATATATTTTTTTGAAAAACTGTTGACTCTTGATGCGTGCTTCAATAATATAAATTCAGTCAAAAGAGAAATAAGTGAATGCAAACTTAGTAATTATATTTTTATATAAAGCGATTAATTTAAGTCATAATTAGTATTGTAGAATACTACAAAGAGTAAGACTTTATAGAATGAAAAGTACAGAAAAGGAAGAAATTGGATACAGCACGTTGACGTCAACCAATATATATTATTAGTTATATATAAGTTAGGTTATATGACCCTATTTAAACGGTTGTATGTATATATAACCCGAGCCGTTAGTCATAACTTTTCAAAATTCTTTATAACGAATTTATAATACTGCAAAACGTCCATTTTCTTGAAACAAAAATGAAATTACTTCAGAAATCGACAGCAACCGTATTTAGATCATATAAACGTTACGATTATCCAATGAAAAGTGACGTTTCAAACATGCAGTATTATAAATAGATAAACTGGCATACTATAATTTAAACAAACAATATAACCTAAAAATATGATTTTTGAAAGCTTTTTAAGAAGAATCTATAACAAATGTTATATGATTCGTATGAAAAATGACGTCGGTTACACAGCAAATTCAATTCATTTACTGGTGTTTTAAGTCGTTCCGAATCACATCAGTAAGCCACTGTGAATTAACCAAAGCACAAATTTGTGGCATCACATCGTTCATCAAACATTTTGCCAGTACTAGCTAGATGCCTTCACTTTCACAAAGACTGGTAATACTTCAGTACAGCCCAGGGCAGAGGTACAGTCAATATGACCGTAGAAAGTATTCCATCATCAATCATAATTAAAATGACCTGAACCGTCCGGGAACCCAGGTCGCCCAATTCATAGTCCAACGCTCTACAAATCGAGCTAACCGGACGGCACAAATAAACATATTACATGTTAATTGACTACCATACAATAGCGGTACTTACAAACACGAGAAGAGTATGGGTATTCTAATATTACCGTCAGGAGTATATTACTTATACATCAAAATTATTATTATAATTATTAAAACATTTAAACACTCAAACTGACCATTTTTTCGATCATAATCACTAAGAAAATGAATTAAGCATGCCATTTATTACATATATAAATAATTTGCTATGTATTTAATATTATTAAACAACCATTTCATGTTTTAAATAATTATAAATTTGAAGCATATATGCACACACTTGTATCACCGAATAAAAAAATTCAGAGCGTTGCTATAGCAACACAATTTCGTGCTTAACAGGAACATACATCACATTGAATCTTAAAGACACTGTCATGTTTTCTTGTTGTTGTTGTTGTTGTTGTTGTTGTTGTTGTTGTTGTTGTTGTTGTTGTTGTTGTCATAGTTGCCATAGTTACTTTAACACAGTATAATAAATGCCATCAAGTGTTTAGAAATTTTAAGTTGCACGCCCATACAAATTATTTTCAAATTTAAAGCCTTCACACTTAATGAATTAGAATAGAATAGAACTTTTTATTTCTAATCATGAGTCATATTAAATGACATATAAATCACAATAATAATGAGATCAAAGATCAAATAAAGATAAAGATGTAAAAGAAAATAAAACTTTATTTATATTATAGCAATAACAATGAACTGAACATCATATTAAACATATATAATTATATTTATATACAAAATAACTGTATTGTTGTATCTAATTTTAAGTACATGTCTTTATTTAAATAACAATTCTTTACAAAACAGATAAAGAATATCCCTTTATTGTTGCTCTACTGTAAAGAATAACACGATACTGTAGGTGGTAATTATTTTAATTTAAGGAGAACCACCCTGTACAATATACATGTCTCTCAAAAACACATATACTGAGTAACATTGAATTTCATACTCTCAGTATTATTACTGAGTATATAACAAATAAAAAGTAAAATCTGCAATTTTGCTTATCTCAAACTATTTTTCAATGTTCAAATTCCTATCTTTTATTTTATAATATAAAATGCTGCGTTGACTAGTAAAAGCATTACAAGCACTTACAAAGTGAAGCTCGTCTTCAACTTCATTTAACTTAAATTTACTTTACAGACCATATTCATACCTTATTTCTAAAGGCTTTTGTCGGGTATTTTGAGACATCTAATGTATTTTGAGTGCATATACCTTATACTACTAAGGTTTTGCAATAAATTCTTTTTAAACTTCCGCAGCAAGTAAGACGAATCTGCAAAGGCTCGCTGCTATTGTCATTCATAAAAATTCAACACAATTAATTGAATGAATATGTCATGTTCACAAATATAAAGATAAACCTGAGACGTATCGGATCATTGAAAATAAATAGTAAAAACACTAAAAACATCCTCATTTCGTTTTATTTAAACATGCAATTACATTTTACACCATGAAAGAAAAGGAAATATCAAACGTTCAACTCTTATTATGCAAAAGATGTCAAAATTTTAATACTGATGAAGTTAAAGACCTGTAAATTAATAATTTTTCAGCTTAGTTTTAAAAGGATTCGTGGTCTTTTTGAAAATTCACATTTACTTTTGACAAGGTAACACCGTCTTTAAGACATACAAAATGCAGAGTGTGAAGTAAATATTTTGCTTTTATTTGTACAGAACTGCATTAATTATATTACTGTAAAATGAATTTTTAAAAAAAATCAAGATTTCAAGATTTTATTCAAAACCAAGGCATATAATATGCATAAGGTTATGATATATCAACAATATAATGAACAGTTATTCAAAAGTGATTAACAAAACATATATACATAAAATTATATATAAGGAAATCAATTTGACTAACACATATCATTTGACTAGACTTTACTTTTTGGACATGATTTGTCTTATACAGAAGTTATCTAAATTGTTTCTATGTAAATACATTCATAAAGTTGAGAAATTCATGACTTACGGGAGAATGATTTATTTAAATTTTAAAATAATAATTTTGCAGAATAATGCAAGTTTTAATAAAGTTGAATGGTCAAAGCTATTCATTAAAGATTCTAATTTATAAATATTAGGATGATTTGAGAATTTTGAATCAATAAACTTTTTACGAAGAGAGTTAAAAAAGTGACATTCAAATAAGTAATGAAATGCATCCCCAAGAGATTGTTTTGGACATAAATGACATATTCTTTGATTTCTTTCAATATGTAAATGTCTACCTTTCTCTATAGGTAAAAGGTGGTTCGTAGTTCTTCTTTAGAAGTATACAGTCTCCTGTTATTCTATTTAAAATACCTATGCATGTACAGTATATTTTTAAATATATGTTTACATGTGCAGATGAGACTCTAATTAACAAATAAGTAAAATAGATGTTGTTACGCATAACATTTTAAGTATCACAATGCAAATGCTTTTAACATAAAGTTATTAAATACAAATATAACGACATATTTGTTTACTTGATTTTTACAAATCAAAATAAAACTAATTAAGACAACATGACATTAACTGCTAATAATAACAGCACCTACCATGGGCCAAAAAAGCATTCCATAAGAGATGACGCCGCCAATAAAACAGTAGATATTTCTGACAAGTACCAGGAAAGTTTGAAATGTATTTTCATTTTATGATTAAGTTGTGTGGACATGGTATTATGCATTTGGTATTTTTAAGTTCAATATGACTAGTAAAATATTTTATTCTTAAGACTACATGGCTATAAAACTTTATATGGAGAAAAATAGAAAGAGATTCTACATTAATTATTATTGAAATGAAGCATTTGTTTATTTGGATGTATGTATCTTTATATGTTTTTTATCTATATTTTGCAATAAACGGGGTTACCCTTAAGGGGCCTGAAATGTCAACTGGATAGTCCACCAGGTATTAAAATAGAGTCTTTAAATGTATTCATCAGACCTATTAATTAATGAACAAAGTTTTGCTAGAAAATAAATTTATTTAGAAAAAAAACACAAAAGAACAATTGTTCAATTTTAGATAAGATTACTCAGTATTGTTCATAGTTGACTTTGAAGTTTCTTTGTTGTTCAGTTGTACTATTTCTTATTAAAAGAAACTAATACTATTTAAAAAAACTTATTTCTCTGTATATTGCGGCTCATTACAACATTTGCGATCAAATTTTAATTGAGTGGTTACGTTCACAGCACTCGAGTGTAGGAAGAAGTTTATGTATCTCCAAAAACGAGCTATTGAAAAGCACTTGATAGCCTGTACGAGTGAACGAACCGGAGTCGATATTCCTGCTTGCTCTATTTTATATTTCTTACATTATTAAAGAATATTTCTTCATCACAATCTTGTTTGATATGAGACCAGTTGATATTCCGAATATTGATTATTCTGCCGACTTGTAAACCGTGAACTTAATCAGTGTAACTTTCGGCTCAATGTGATATTTGCGGCACCCATAATTCATAACGCCTTTATAGAATTTTCATAAAAGCGGAAGCCAGTAATATTTTCCAAATTATTGAATATGACAGTCAAACGTTGGGAATTCATCCAAATTCGGTAATTGGATTGGATCCGATTGCCTGTGTGAGCAGTAGCAATTTGTTTAGAATGACGAATGTTAAAAATATTGTATTGACCCGATGGCTCGGATAAGATGGATGCATGGAAGTGGGTTTATAGAAGAGCCATGTTTGATATATTGACAACAGTACTGAAGAAAAGTGACTTGTATGATTTAGCATGAAGTATTATCAATACCCAGGCGGGACTAATTCAATCAAGCAATGTTTAACTTCTCACAAAATTTCTAGACCGTAATGTTGAATTTTCCAAGAAATCAATGAATATTTTCGGTAAAAAGAATCTTTTTGCGAGAAGCAATGTGTACATCAAAGCGAAACATTTTGTTAACGTTTTACAGATACAACAGTACACTAATAATAATATTAATTCCGTTTATTAATTCTCTGATTCAAAAATGTTTACCATCTATAAATATAATTATTTCCCATATCATTTAACATTTGGT